AATCTAATGTCTTTCTCGTTCTATCAAAAGTTAAATCTTCCGGATTTGAAGGCTACAAGAATGACAATTTACATGGCCAACCGTTCAGTGACACGTCCTAGAGGCATTGTGGAAGACATTTTGGTCAAAATTGGGAAATTTGTTTTTCCAATTGACTTTGTTGTTTTGGATATGAAAGAAGATGTCAATGTCCCAATCATTCTTGGTCGCCCTTTACTCAATACTGCTCGAGCCTTGGTTGACATTCGTGAGTCCAAACTTACTTTGAGAGTTGGAGATGAAGAAGCTACTTTTGGAGTAGAAGATGGTTTTCGAAGGAATGATGTTCAAGGTGAAGTCTTCAACATTGATGAAGAAGATGAACTTGAAGAGTTGGAGAAGCTAATGGAAGAAGAACTTAAGACAATTCAACAAGTCAAACACACCAAACCGAGAGCATCCATTCCACTTGTGTTTGAAGTTATTGTTTATAAAAATCCAACTTCTTGGGTGAGTGAGGAAAGTGAAGACTTATCAAGTGACGAGGACGAGATTACTTCCGAGGAAAATAGCTTAGCTATGGATGAAAATATGGTTCTCGTAGAGCTGAAGAATAAGGAAAAAGTGGATAATAAATTTCAGGAGAATAAAGGGATTAAACGAAAGCTCGAATTAAATAAGGTGAAAGTTAAAAAAGAGAACTCTAAAAAGGCGTATATTCGACGAGTTCACGCATACAAAAGGAGATGGAAGGAGCAAAAGATTCAAATGGTGATGGACACTCCGGAAAACTCAACGTGAAGCGGCACGAAGTCCGGCTCATGACTCCAACAAAAAGAAGCGCTTATCGGGAGGCAACCCGATGTTTTTTTAGAGTTTGCATTTTATTTCCTTATTTGATTTAGTTTTAGTTTTATTTTTCGTGTTAGTCTTATTTCACCTTAACCGAATGATGATGCATTTCTCTAGTTCTTGATCTTATTTTGTAGTGTTTAACGAAAGTGAAGCAGTGAAGGAGCTTAATTTGAAGAAGTCGTGTGATTTTTGAAGATCATAATTGAAGAACAAGTTTTTGGATAAGTGTGGGGTTCCCACATAATGAAGAGAAAATAATTTTGAAGCTTATTTACTGAAAAGAAGAGTGGGAATGGTCTTACACATTACAAAGAGTCAATGCCCACCTGTTTCAATTTTAGAAGATTCTTTGAGAAGACACCACGACGTGGACATCATCAACACGTCGTAGCAAAAAAATTTAATCGCTACTGAATCTGACTACACCACGACATGGCATCCTTAAACCACGTCGTGGCGACATTATTTTGCTCGACCTTGATGACCATTTTCTCGACACCACGATGTGGTGTTGCTTTCCCACGTCGTGGCAACGATCAACGCATTTTGAAGAATGGTTCTTTGATTTCATTCGATCTGGTACATTTGCATTCACAAGAAGAAGGTCCAGAAGTACTGTTTCCAGCAATTATACAAGATGTTCAAGTTTTCGACACTTTTAGAGTTAGTCTCGCCACTACTACCCCAGGGGAGTCTGTTCCTTTTTCTCATTTTTATTGCTTTATATTATTTTTTGCATACAATGAGGGCATTGTATGTAATAAGTGTGGGGTAGGGGTCGAAAAAGTAAATTGCTAGAAAATTTAGAAAATTTAAAAATTTAGAAATAAATTTAGAAATAGATTTGAAATAATAATCTAAAAATTTAATCTAGTAATAATTTGAACTTAAGTTGTTGGTGTTATATGGGATGATCCGATGAGAGCTCAAATGTTTAACCGAGCCAGTACATGTTATAGTATATTTGTGGCTTCCCAAGTCTTAGTGAAAAGCCATGAGTTATGAAAAGGTAGTCTGGTAGTTTTTATGGCATAATATGTTTTGCAGCCTAAACCTGAAATCTATCCAGGAATGCTTATGTAGTCATGGCACATAGACTAATACCTTTAACCAATAAAGGTTGAAGTTAAGCACCATTGCTTAAGCATGTAGGATTTGAGTGAAAAAAAAGTGAGATATATATTAAATAGAAAGAGAGAGAAATTACCAAAAAGTTGAAGAATTTTGGAGCTATCAAGTATGAAGATCAAAAGATCAAAATTCCAAAAGGAAAAAAAATTGAAGATACTAAAAATCGAAAAAAGAAGGTGGTGAAATCAAAGAAATCAAAGATCAAATATCAAAGAAGTGAAGAATTCCAAGAGCTCCAATTTGGTATCTAAAGTTGTAATTTCTAGATTATGTATGCTTGGGTTGCTTAACCAAAAATACCTTGAGGTTAAGAAAGATTTCTGAGGATTGATTCGGAGGGTTGCAGAAATGAGTGTCGTATAAGCTAAGGGGTGAAAGTTCATAAGGATGGTGAGTAGCTAGGATTTGGGAAGTTGTTAGGATTTTAGACACAAATATGCGCATTGAGGTCTTGGTATAATGGCTGAGTTCAAAATGGATTGTTCTATATGATGGTGGTGATGAAGGTTTGAATCAAAATTAATTAGTTTTGCTTGAGGGCAAGCAAAAGATAAGTGTGGGGTATTTTGATATGTACATATCTACACATATATTTTACATCATATCTTAATATTTTATGCTATATTTATGCTTATTATAGAACAAAAGGTATTTATTATGCTTAATATCTGTTATGTAGCATAAAGACATTCTCAGGAGCAAAATGGAAGCTGGAAGCAGGAAAATACGAGCTTAGACAAGAAGAAGACACAAGAAGGATGTTGCTAGACAGCTTGACCCCTCATCATTATTTTGACCATATCTCATGACTCGTAACTCCGATTGACGTGATTCAAAATGATCTGAAAACTAGACACAATTTCGGACGACTTTCGTGTTTTGAGAAAAATCGAATTTCCAACCACCACGACGTGGTGAATGGAATCTTCGCGATTCTTGACGCTGGCTTGAGGAATACGGGATAAACACGAGGACCACGACGTGGTGGCCAGATTTTAGGCAAATATATATATCCGAACATTATGACGAATGGAGAGGCTTGGAGGTGACTTTCTGGAGAAGCATTACGAAAAATAACCTCTGGAAAAACCTTAGAAGAGGAGGAAACGATTGGAGCTCAAGATTTGAAGAGATCTAGACGAAAACATCAATTTATTCGATTTGATCATGTTTAGATTTATCTATATTGAGTTTTTGTGTTTGATTTCTACCATGAGTAGCTGAATTTAGCTACTCCTGTTTAGCTAGATGAAGCTTCAACTTATGGATTAGTTTAATTAATTATGGATTTGACTTGTTGGTATTGTGCTTGTGTTTGATTGTTAATACCTAGCATGCTAATATTTGGTTGTTTAGTTGCTTGAATTCATATTCTGTGTAGCTTAGTGATTATTAAATTACATGAACTTGACACCTAGTGATTTAGTGAATATTGAATTGCTAGAGCTAGGATTGACCCAATCTTAGATAAGTGATTGAAGTAATTGAATTTAGCTGTGCTGGAGAACATAAATTATGACCATAATTATGTTTGCATAATAAATCTTACATAGCCTATCCATAATCCATAACTGATTCTGTGTTTGATTGTGTGTGACAATGCATAGTTTTACATGAATTAGTTAAATATTAGTAAATTTGGACTTAAATTACTAATAATATAATATTAGGTAACCAACTTTGATAATCCATAATTGTTAGCTAACCATAAAGAAGAAGTGGATTCGAACTAAACGGGAGTGTTTTTAGTAATTGATTGAACCTTTGTTTAGTAATTAAGTTTATCTAGACTTGCAAAATTAGATAAAAACCTTTTTAATTATTGTTTGATTTTAGATTAATTTAGAGTAATTATTTTAGCTAATTAGATCCGTTCCCTGTGTTCGACCCCAACTTACTTAAACTACACTACAATCCGACTAGGTACACTGCCTAGGTGCATATTAGTTAGTTAAGTTAGTTAGGATATAAATTTAAAACTAGTAGGTACTTTTGTGCACATCAATTCCTCAAATGGTAATACATATTCACCACCACGATCACTTCTTACTACTTTAATTTTCTTTTTGATTTGATTCCCAACTTCACTTTTGTACACTTTAAACTTCTCTATGTCCTCATCTTTACTTTTAAGAAAATATACATAGCATAATTTAGTGCAATCATCAATAAAAGTGATAAAGTACTTATTTCCACTCTTAGATGGAATCGACTTCATGTCACACACATCTGTGTGAATTAATGCAAGTGGTTCAGTTTTCCTTTGAATGGACTTGAAAGATTGTCATGTTAATTTTTATTCAATACAAGTGTTGCATTTGTATTTTGAGTCAATATGAAAACGTGGTATGTGATCGAGTTTAATTAAACTTTGAAGAGTATCAAAATTAACATGTCATAATCTATCATGCCAAATATTTGAAGACTAAAGCAAGTAAGTAGAAGATTTATTCATTTCATTATCATTTTCATTTGGAGCCATTACACATAACTTGAACAGAACCGTTACCCACATACACACCATTTTTGGTTAACACAAATTTATCTGATTCAAACACCAAGAGAAAACCATGCTTATTCTGTTAAAAGGAAGGCTCAATGAGATCAGCGAGATTGGTGACCAATCACATCATATCCCTTGCAATTAGGAGAACGTATATATGCTTTCCATTCACCAAGAATTGACAGCCAGCAATAGTATTTCTTCCATATTCAGATCATTTTAATTTAGTATAAATTGTGGTTTCTCTTCCTCATTGTAATATACAAAAAAAAAACAACCGATTCCTATCAATTCTTCTCTGTTTTTTTATCATGGTATCAGAGTAGGTTTGCTCATCATCTACCCCATAGCCTGCTCAAATCCCAACTAAGTCGCCATGTCCGGAGACTGAAACTTAGAACCCAGTTTATCATTACAGCTTGCCAATCTGTTAAAGAATGGCATCAATCCCCAATCTCAGAACCCAAAGCTATCCGATAATCTCCAAATAAACCTCAAACTCAATAGCCAAAACTATGCTTTATGGACTCGGATGATTCGAGTTGCCATAGGCGGAAAATCTAAGGCCCTTTTATCTCACTTGACCTCTGATCGTCCAAGCCAAGACAAACAATCTTACGAGCAATGGGAACAAGAAGATCTAATTGTGTTCTCATGGCTCATCCAAAATATTGAACCTACTATTGCAGGTAACCTAACAGAGTACCCCATTGCAAAAATGTTATGGGATGCTTTAGTGGTCACATACAGTAGTGGCAGAGACAAACTTCAAACATTCAACCTCCATGTCAGGGCTAATGACATCAAGCAAAATGACAGCACCCTTGAAGAATTTTGGATTACACTCGAAGGTGTCTGGGGAGAAATCGACAGGATCAATCCTAACCCCATGAAATGTCCAGATGATATCAAGACTTACGCAAGAATCAGGTCAGAGCAAAAACTTTTTCAATTCTTAAATGCCCTCGATCAAAAATACGAATCAATCAAAAGGGAGATCCTTCGATTGGAACCATTGCCTTCGGCGGAGGCAGCTTATGCTACCGTCCGTAAGGAAGCCGCTCACTAGAATATTCTTGGAACAACTAACCACACACAGGGCATAGCAGCAGGTCTGGTCGCTACTGAAACCGAGGGAATGGGGCTTGCCACGAAGGGGTATCGCCGATCGGAAGGAAAGAAGAATGGATCGATGATCAAAGAAGATAAAACAAACTTGAAGTGTAATAACTGTGGCATGTCAAGACACACCAAAGAGCAATGCTTTCGGCTCGGTGGTTATCCCGAGTGGTGGGCCGATGGCCACAAGAAGAGTACCAAGGGTCTTGGACCAGAAAAAGGAAGAGCTCCGACCACCGATAAGAATATCGATCGGAAAACCACCATCGGATTTGGGGGGGTTGCAGCGAAGGGAATCGATGAAGAAGATGAAAGTTTCTCGATGGAGACAGGTACATGGGGTAAGAAAGAGGGTATCTTGAAAACCCCGATAAATCAATTACACTCTAATGGTTCTTTTTCTTATCTTATCCAAAAGAGTTTTGAAAATTACAAAAAGAACCTTGATGTTAATGGTTGTGCAAGTGTGGCTCAAAATTATAAAATAAAACATGAACCGTCATGGATATTTGATTGTGGAGCCACCGACACCATGACTTACGACTTATCTGATTTTGCTATGTCAACTAAACCAACAAAATCATACATTCAAACCGCAAATGGAGAAAAAATGAATGTAAAAATGGGGGAACGATCGAAGTCTCACCAACACTTAAGCTCTCTAATTGTCTCTATGTTCCTGCTCTATCTCATAAACTCCTATCAATCAGTCATGTAACAAAAGATTTGAATTCCTCGGTCCTTATGCAACCTACTTTTTGCATTTTACAGGATATCAGGACGGGAGCGATAATTGGGCGTGGCACTGAAAGGCAAGGGTTGTATTATGTGGATGAGGTATCTCAAAATGGTGTAGTAATGTTATCTCATGGAACAAAGGAATGGGAAGCTTGGCTATGACATAGAAGACTGGGACATCCATCCACCAGTTACTTACATATTTTATTTCCGAAATTGTTTTCTTCTAATTGCAAGTTACATTGTTAAACTTGTGTATTAGCTAAAAGTCATCGAAAATCTTTTAAACCGAATAACACGAGAGTTGACCTACCATTCTCATTGATTCACTCGGATGTGTGGGGCCCCGCTCCAATCATTGGGGGACAAAACTTTCGTTTTTTTGTTATATTTGTTGATGACTGCACCCGCATGACTTGGGTTTATTTATTAAAAAATAAATCTGAAGTTCTTGACAAATTTAGCATTTTTTACAACATGATTCAAACTCAATTTCAGAAAAACATTCAGATTTATAGATCTGACAACGGAGGAGAATTTGTCAACTCCGAAATGAAATCTTTTTTCCAAACCAAGGGTATAATTCATCAAACCACATGCTCTCATACTCCAGAACAAAATGGTGTCGCGGAACGAAAGAACTGCATCCTGTTAGAAATAACTCGAGCCCTTCTCATAGAATCACAAGCTCCAAAGTTTTTTTGGCCAGAAGCCCTTGTTACTGCTGCATACCTGGTCAACCGGCTTCCCACCCAAATCCTAAAATCTAAAACCCCTCTTCAAACCCTCACTGAATACACTAAACTCCCGTCTGTTCTTACCCTTGAACCACGAATATTTGGGTGCAGTGTATTCGTCCATATACCTAAAGTCAACAGATCTAAATTTGACCCTTGTGCTGAGAGATGTGTCTTTGTTGGGTACGGAATAACTCAAAAGGGGTATCAGTGTTATAATCCAAAAACCCGACACAATTCACTACAATGAACTGTGATTTTCTTGAAACTGAGTATTATTATGCCTCCCAACACAGTGGTCAGGGGGAGACAGAATGTATTGACACGCTGAATTGGTTGAGATATGCTACATCTGAAGACGGAAGAAGCCACAGTCTACAAAATGAGACTCCTCTTCCCACACAACCAACTAACATCAGTGCCACCCAAGCAACTGCTCCTGACCTGATACCCGAGGTACGTAACACTCACCCTAGTCACCCTGATCTTTCTGAGACTCTTAACACATCAGGTGAAAGTGAGAATGGACAGGAACAAGAAAATACATCAGTTGAACATGCAGAGGAACAAGAACATGTGGAGGAACAAGAGACCGTTGAGACACCAGCAGAAGGGTATGTGCTGCCACCAAGATCAAATCGGGGAGTTCCACCAAAAAGATATTCACCAGAAAAAGAGTCTAGAGGGCGAAGATACCCAGTGGGTAACATAGCCAAAGGAAATCTATCCAAAGGAGCCAAGGCCTTTGTTTCGTCTCTGTATTCAAATGAAATACCAGCTACCATAGAACAAGAATTAAAATCAAAACAATTGAGAGATGCAATGGAAGAAGAAATGAAAGCTCTTACAAAAAATAACACCTGGGAAAATCGTGTCTTACCACCAGGAAAGAAACTTGTCGGGTGTCGGTGGGTGTTTACAATTAAATACAAACCCGATGGTACAGTTGAAAGATACAAGGCGAGGTTGGTAGCTAAAGGATATACAGAAACTTACGGTATTGACTACTCTGAAACCTTCTCTCCAGTTGCAAAGATCAATACAATTAGGGTTCTTTTTTCTGTAGCAGCAAATAAAGGATGGCCCCTACACCAGTTTGATTTGAAGAATGCTTTCCTACACGGAGTGCTAAAAGAGGAAGTTTATATGGAAGCGCCACATGGATTTACAGACAGGTTTAGAAAGAGAGAGGTGTGTCTTCTAAAGAAATTCATTTATGGATTAAAACAGTCCCCGAGAGCATGGTTCGGGAAGTTCAACTTAGCCATGAAAAAGTATGGATTTAAGCAAAGTAACTCGGACCATACGTTGTTTCTTAAACGGAGAGGCAGTCTCATAACATGTCTTCTAAAGAAATTCATTTATGGATTAAAACAGTCCCCGAGAGCATGGTTCGGGAAGTTCAACTTAGCCATGAAAAAGTATGGATTTAAGCAAAGTAACTCGGACCATACGTTGTTTCTTAAACGGAGAGGCAGTCTCATAACATGTTTAATAATCTATGTGGATGATATGATTATCACAGGAGATGACAAAGAAGAAATAACCAAACTCAGGAAGAGATTGTTCAAAGAATTTGAAATGAACGATCTTGGGGAACTCAAATACTTCCTTGGGATTGAAGTCCTGAGATCAAAACAGGGGATCTTCATGTGTCAAAATAAGTATGTCTTGGACTTACTTGCAGAAACTGGTATGATTGATTGTAAACCAGCTGACACTCCGATGATTGTGAATCAGAAGCTCTATATGGAGGAGAAAGCAGAGCCGACTGAGAAAGAAAGATACCAACGAATGGTAGGAAAACTGATATACCTCTCACACACCCGGCCTAACATAACGTATGCTGTGGGAGTTGTAAGTCAGTTTATGCATCAACCCCAGAAGGCTCACATGGAAGCAGTCTTAAGAATTATAAGATATCTCAAGGGAACAGCCAAACATGGAGTCTTGTTTCAGTCAAATGGTCATCTTGAAACGCTACTATATACCGATGCAGATTGGGCTGGCGATAAAGGTGACCGAAGATCCACCTCAGGGTACTTTACCCTAGTTGGTGGGAATCTTGTTACATGGAGAAGTAAGAAACAAAAGGTGGTGGCTCTTTCAAGTGCAGAAGCAGAATTTCGAGGAATTGCAAGGGGATTAACCGAAGTTTTATGGGTACGGAAGCTTCTAACAGAAATAGGGGATCCACCACAAGAAACTAGCAAAATTATGAGTGACAACAAGCCAGCCATCCAAATTTCAGAGAATCCAGTTCAGCATGATCGAACGAAGCACATAGAAGTAGATCGACACTTCATCAAGGAGAAATTGGAAGCAAAGATTATCACACTCCCATTTGTTCGATCAGAAGACCAACTTGCTGATATCTTGACAAAAGCTGTTAATGAAAAAAATCTAAACGAATGTCTGGGCAAGTTGAATTTTGGAAATCTCATTATTCAACTTGAGGGGGAGTGTTAAAAGGAAGGCTCAATGAGATCAGCGAGATTGGTGACCAATCACATCATATCCCTTGCAATTAGGAGAACGTATATATGCTTTCCATTCACCAATAATTGACAGCCAGCAATAGTATTTCTTCCATATTTAGATCATTGTAATTTAGTATAAATTGTGGTTTCTCTTCCTCATTGTAATATACAAAAAAACAACCGATTCCTATCAATTCTTCTCTATTTTTTTATCATATTCTACAACCAACCCGACATAAAATTCTTACGAAATTTGGGTACATACAACATTTCATTCAACGTCGTCTCTCTTCCCGACGTCCTCTTCAACACGATCTTCCCAACACCTTGGATATCAGAATTTGTCGATTTACCATGAAAAACTTGTCACCATTATCCACAACCTTGAAGTTTTTGAACCATTCTTTATTCAAGCAAACATGATAGGTAGCTCTCGTATCAATCCACCATTCCCTTGGATTGGACTCCATAAGGTTAACTTCAGAAATAACCGCTACAAGATCGATGGTAGGCACCTCTTTGGTTATCTTCTCCATAATGTTTGCCTCCTTTTCCTTCTTTGGAAGCTTGCAATTAGCAACCCGATGACCAGGTTGGTCACAATTGTGGCAGTTTTCTTAAAACTTTTTCTTAAAAGTTCCACCTTTGGCTCCCAAGTTTCCACCTTTTCCTTTCTGTTGGAATTTCCCCTTTCCAAACTTGTTCTTCCCAAAACTTTAACCATGCTCTACCACATTAGCTTTTTCAAAGGTAGGGTTATAGCTACTATTTTGATTTACCTTATTGTCCTCTTCAGTTCGAAGGCGAACAATAAGGTCCTCAATAGTCATTTCCTTTCTCTTATGTTTCAAGTAATTATTAAAATCAACCCAACCAGGGGTAGCTTCTCAATCATGGAAGCAACATAAAAAGGCTCATTAAACCCCATACCCTCGACATGTATGTCATGTAGGAGGACTTGTAGTTCTTGGACTTAGGACATTACATTTTCCCATCTACCATTTTATAGTCTAGAAACCGGGCAACCACAAACTTCTTGGTCCCGACATCTTCGGTTTTTGTAATTTTTTGTCTAATGGGTCCCATAGTTCTTTGGCCATTTTTGTTACACAATAGACGTTATACAATGAATCAATAAGACCATTAAGAACATAGTTCCTATACAAGAAATGAGAATGTTTCCGAGCTTTAATAACACTCAAAACTTACACATTTGCTTCACCTTCAAGCATTTTCGGAGACTCTTCAATTAAGAATCTATCAAGATTCAATGTGGCGAGGTAGAAAAGAATCTTTTGCTACCACCTTTTAAAGTGCAGCCTAGAAAACTTTTCTGGTTTCTCCGCATGATGAACCGACATGGTCATTATTGGAACTCCTTGAGTATTAGGAGTACCATTAGGCTTTGGTTGTTGGGAGCTTTCACCAGTCATACTACACATATAAACCAACAGTTTTAGTTAAACCAAAGTAAAACGGTTAAAGATCAGTACACAATCACAACAAGTAAAATTGTTAAACTAGTGTCTTTTCCAGAAAATAGATTTTGAAAAAATGTTAAACACTTGGTTTTGAAATCTGTTTTAAAAAAGAATTTCTGAAAACATAAGCAAAACAAGAATGGTATTACTGGAAATTAAAATAAAACATAAATCATAAGCTGTTTTAGAAAACTGTTTCTGAAAACGGAATCACAACTCGGTAATGTTAGTGTGATGTTATTTCCCCTAGATGATAGATGACGCTATCATATATGATTGGGTCGTTTGAGTCTAGATGAGAATAAAATGCAGAGTACAAGAAGAGTAAAGAGACGAGATGAGTAAAGAGTATGGGACAAGATGAAGTAGATGAAGTGAGAAGAGTATGAAAGAGGTAAGGATAGAAAAAAAGATAGAGTATAAGTTGAGATGAGATAGATGGGTTGAGAAGACACGAGTAAAGAGAAGAAGAGATAGATGACATGAGATGAAAATATAAGAGATAAATGAGATGAGAAAGAATGAAAACAGAGTAGAGTTTGAGGTAAAGAGAATATAAAGATAGTGTATGGAAAGATAGAAAGATTAGAAGAAGATTATGATAACATGAAAACAGATAGAATATAATTCACCAGACCTATGGTATGATGTTATAGATATTTTCATGTTTTGTATCTTCATATGATAGTCAATGTAAGTGAGAATGTGGGAGCACAAGAACTTAGGGTAGAAGAATAATTTTATTTCTTTGTATTTTTCATTGTTGCTCATTTTATGGTTAGCATTTATTGTAAACCTGAAATTAATCTAGAGATGTAAATTATTCTGAGATAATAGAATTTCTTAATTTTATAGAAACTCTTATAATTCTCATGAATATTTAGATTGAAAAAAATTGTGTCGTTATAGTGTTTTTCTCAGTTTACATTGTTATAAAATATGTTTTTCATATTACTTAATAATCAGCATTAATCTGAATATATCATTGTGATAAAAAAGTACAATGTAAAATAAAACATCCTTTAACATCAAAAAATTATAATTTGAAATAAAACAACCTAAACATCCAAAAATACACAAAATAATTACAAATCATACGGAAGAGTAATTAATTTGAGGCAAATCCACCGATCTATCATGCAAAGATTCTCTTTCTATGTCTTTCGTTTTCATCACTTTATACTCGCCATAAAAGTAAGATGTAAACCCCCAAAGAGATAGAACAAGTGCAATACCCTTTTCCGCTTGGAAATGCTCTTTGTAGAAAACCACCGCCAATACCTCGGTCACCGGAAGTAGTACAGCGATTATGATTCCTGATAGCAACGATGATGCACAAAAAACCACTCCGATAGCCCCCAAGAAGAAACTTTGCCAGAAAATTGCGTTTATACACAACACTGCATAATATTTCGTTTCACCAAGTTCATATTCCTTCGCCTCTCTTGGAATCGCCTAAAAGAAGAGAAAGTATATATACTCAATAACTTAAAGTAATATGAAGTTAATTCAAATAGTAAAGCCTTCAAAGCAACACAAGTACGTTCTTTTATCCTAAACTCGAAGTGAAATGACGGAAAATCTCATCACTTTTTCAACAATATATAAGACCTAATCAATTTCTTTATGGGAAAGATGATTTGTTTATAACGATAAAGATTAAAATAAAAGAATTTAGAATGATATGTTTGCATGCAAAGAACTTGGTACCTTGAAATCGTTGTCAATGATCATCCCTGTTGTGCAAACGATTGTAGCAAATAGACAAATGACCATTTGAATCTCCAACACCAGTGTATATGTAATCGCCTGCTTTGCCTTGTTATATGTCATCTCCACCATCGGCAACACCAGTCCATACAACGCCGCCGCCGCTACAGTCATAAAGAACCCTTTTAAATACTCCGCCCTCGACTCTCCATTTGGGAGATCGCTGCCGGTATGCAACGCTAGCACCGCCGCTCCAATGGTGAGAAGCATCACCGCATTGATAGAATACGGCGTGAATTTCTGTTTCACTAACAGAAACGCGAAGAACGCGGTGAAGCCGAGCTGGGAGGCGATGATGAGGGAAGTGGTGGAGACAGGGAGGCGGGAAACGCCGCAGGCGTAGAGGAAGTCGTCGAGGCCGGTAAGAACACCGATGACGGCCGCTGCGAAGAACAGCCGAAGACGCATGAACACGACGGTTGTTGACGTGGGTGAAGTTGAACAACGCCGGCAAAAGTAAAGAACGAGAAGGACGATTAAGATGAACGGCCAACCGCCGGTTTCCAGGAAGGCGGAGAGCCAGACACGGTTGCCGCCGTGGAGGAAATAGAGGCGCATGCTCAATGGGCCACCGCAGTTTCCGAGGGACAAAAGGATGCAGTTGAGAATCAGCAGTGCCTTCTTCGCCGACGGGCTCACTTTTGTTGCGACGATGGGTGATGCAAGTTCTTCCCGACCTTCCATGATTAATTAGAAGATATTGTTAACTATGGTGTAAATTTGTGTATGGTTTTGATAGGGTTTAGAAATTGCAGTTTTGCAGGTATCTTGGAGCACTAAGATCTTGAAATTATCAATATTTGTCCGTAATAAAAGGTCGCCACTCATTTTATGCTTCTTAAGTTTCGGAGACGAGTCTAAGAGGGTGTTTGGCTTAGCTTTTTGGGATAAAAGTCCTTTTTGTAAAAGTACTTTTTATAAAAGTTGTTTTTTAAAATGTGTTTGGATTAGTTTTTGAAGGGAAAAAATCAAAAGTTAAAGTGTTTGGTTTAATTTTTACATGCAAAATGACTAAAAATAACATGTTTACATATTTATAGGGGGTAGATGGAGATATAAAAGTAATTGTAATGTTTAACACTGTTGAAAAGTTGGAAAAGTCATGATTTCGTGACTTTTCAAAAAGACCAAATTTACTCTATTGGAAAAGTCATTTTTATATTCTCAAACATCTTTTTGATTTTTTCTAAAAGAAAAAGTCAAAAGTCATTTTAAAAGTTAAACCAAACACCCTCTAAAATTCTAAATAACAACATCAACAAAAGTATAATTGAATCACAAGTTTATAATTTATATTTATAAAGTTTTAATATATTAGTGGAGATAAAAGTCATATTGAGATTTTTTAGGATATATGGATTTAACATATATAATTCATATGAAAAATATCGATTAGGATATCTTTATAAACACGAATACATCAAGTTTTATAAAATTAGGTGTATTGTAATTTTATAAATGAAACTAAAGGACTAATGTATTTTGAAATATTATTAACGATTATTTGATTAATAATAGAAGATTCGATATGATGATCTAAGATTAGATTATTAAATGATAAATATATATAATTTACTAAAAATATAATGTTATAATGTTTTTTTAGAAATACTTTGAACTTTCAATCTCAAAAAAAAAGACATCTTAGCAAAAAAGGAGGTCTGTTGCAGACATTTTATAGGCCTTGTGCAAAATCAAAGTAAGACCCTATAAAAATTTTCTTGTAAAATATTATTAAGTAAATTTTCTACCACTAAATTCAAAATTCAAAACTGCTAACAAACATCTCGTAAATTCAATATTACAATATCATGTATTCACTCATTTGATGTTCCAGTTTCTAGAATCATATATGCTTACTGGAATATCTTCTTTGTCATCACCGTTACCATACAATGTGTTCATCTACACAAGACATCACTTGAGTTCAACTTTTTATTCTCTAGGTTCTTCCACAACATTATGAACTTCTTATTTAGGTTTTTCCACAGCTTAATAAACTTTATCCATGTTTTCTGGTGCACACGCAATTCAACTTCTTCTTCTATACGTTTTTCCACAATCGATTTTTCACTATGATGATATTTCAACATGTGTTTAAGGACAAATTAATAGATTAATGGATCCCCTTTTACTATAAATAATGTGTTCTTCTTTTTGTTTTCTTTTACGTTTGGAACTATCTTGTTCAAATTTTTTAGTTAGATTCATCTTTTTTTAAACTAAAAAGGTTTAATGTTAATAACTTAACAATATATATTTGTTATATTTATCAAAAAATTAATGTTTAAAACATTTAGAACATAAAATTCAAATCTTTCTACGTATTAAACTACATATACTTGATGTTTATAAATAATAAAATATTACTATTTCCATTTTATAAAGGTTTAAAAAACTATAATATATAATAGAAATATATTAATGTTGTCTAATTATGATTGGTAAAAACCAAGTGTCCAATTATAAATGGTCAAAACAGTGGGGGTTTAGTTATGATCGGTGGTTGATAGGTGACAAAAGAACAGGAAAGAGAAGTGTATGCTTAAATGCTAAAATCAAACACGTATCTCCCAAAGATGAACAGAAGCAGAAGAAGACGATAGGGCAATTTTCTGATATATTCCATAAAAACGTTACAATGCAAATAAATAATCCAAAGCTAGCTAGAAAGAAAGAAGGAAAACATGGTGGACGTTTTAAATTGTTTTCATTTTTGTTGGGATATATATATATATATATATATATATATATATATATATATATATATATTTGTTATTTTAAGTTAATTCTTTTAGGGTATCTACCCCTGAAATTCCCTAACAAGGGTTTCTGGGCCAGCTTTCGTGCACCGACTAATCCTCCGTTACGAGAACATTAGGCTATGCATCATGCCCTATAGGCGAATCTCCATGGCTACAGGGGCTGAGTAGTGTCAGGATTTAAACATGGGTCAATAGTTTATCCACCATATATTGCACATGTTTTACCTAGTCACCACAACCCAAGTAGTTGAACAAAAGGTATAGAAAATTGTATTATATTAATGTTGACTTAAAATGTCAACGTTTTCAATAAAATCAGATCATTGAAAAAGGTGAATACATTAATCTAAAAAACGGTTAACATTAATTAGACCCACTAACCAACTATTATCATTAATCCAACCAAAAGATTAGTGAAAGTAAATTGATTATCATTAATAAAAAAAATTAACAAATTTCATGTCCACTAATCACCACCTTCAACAACTGTCAGTATATCATCGCCACCTTTAACCACCAGCGTCCGTTGGCCACCATTAACTATGATCGAAGGAGAGAGAGAGACCACGGTGAAGGAACCACCGTCGTTGGCAATCCCCTCTAATCACTGCCATCATCGCCTTTGACCACCACAAATTTGTGCAAGGTTTATCGCTAGAGACAGAACGAGAGAAAGAGAAAGTCGTTAGAAACATAACAAGAGAAGGAGAACGAGCGTTGGGCAGGCGACGTGAACCTCGCCAGAAGTCGCCTGCAGTGTTGGCGGAAATCACCTGATGCTATCACCAGACAGAAAGAGAGAAAGAGAACAAGCGTGTAATCATTGCACTATTAATGATGGAAAGCGACTGAAGGCCGACGGAAATCACTTGAATTTTAAATTCCATTATATATATATATATATATATATATATATATATATATATATATATATAATCTCGGCTTATGAACAGGAACATTCATAAGTCGGCTTCAAGTTTGGAGCCATGGCTTATTTTGCACAATCATCGGCTTGGTTGATGTTCTTCTGCCATCTGTTCTTCCTCTTTTTCTTTTGTTGTGTTTGATGTTGTGGTGTTGTGTTCAATTTCAATCTTTCAAATCCCAAATTGGTGACGAATCGATATCTGTCTATTCGAATCTAAGTTCACCTCTCTACGAAACTTTGCTTCCGTCTTCATTGTGGATCGTCGTTCTTTGACCTCCATCTATTCTGCCAATTACTTTCACTTCCCAATTTTGTTTTTCTTCTTAGGGTTTACCGATTGAAATTATAGAAGGTATCTGATTCAAATTTAAATTGGACCTAAATTGGTGGCTACGACTATGTCAAGTTAGCACCAACAATATGCTAGGCCAGGATCTAGACTACTGATTACCACCTCAACCTCTGCTTTACCCCATTGTACCCACTATGCCCCTGTTATTTACCATGTGTCGTTGGTGTCTACCAACCTACACCACCGTCGTTTTCTACCTCAGAATTCTATGGCAGTTTGTAATTGAGGGATGACGGAAATTAAGGCTAGTCAAGATAATTTCTCTATAGAGCAAGAATTCAGTTGTTTATTTGTTTGTATATATCAGTTTCTGTTTTGGTGTTGTTGTAATATGGCCCTTAAAACTTAGACAAAAATATATACCATTTACACGCACCGATTGGAGAAGTGGAGACATCCTTAACTTATAATGTATATAAGATGCATCTAAACCTAGTGTGAGTTTCCCACCAACTGTTCGATGAAATTACTTTTAAATGTTTTAAAGTCTGAAAGCTCAATCACAATCAAGTAGAGGCTGTAATAACACCCGTTGTTTTACCAGACTCATGTTTGCTTTTTCTTCTGATTCGTGTCTTTCTGATACATATTACAACGTCTTAAAGATAAAATTTAGAGTTTTGATGGTTGGAGTACTATTTTGCCTTTATTAGGTAGTGATGAACATACTAAAGAAAAATTTCTGATTAAATTTGCAGTTCTTTAAAGACATTGACTGCCACTTTGTTGGTATACTTAACAAGTATGTTCTTATTTAAATTGTATCAACCAGGTTTTTGAATCATCGGTTCATTGTATGTTCTTTTTTCTTCATTTTTATTTAACTAGATTGAAAATAATCTTGTTAAAGTTATTGGGAACATTGGAAGGAAAAAATTGAAGGTATTGGTCCAAGTGAAGACATTTGGAGAGACATTTACGCAAATCAGGAGGGTGCCCTATTTTTCTCTTTTTTCAGTAACTATTTATTACAGTTTTACCATTCTATTTATTCTTTTAGTAACTATTGTGTCGTTTTTATAGTTATTTATTACTTCTTTTGTTTTATTTTAAAAGGAGAATATAAATGGACAATTTGTGGGTGTAGTTGAGATGATAGGGCCACTTGATTTTGGCAAAAGCTTAAACATCAGACAACAAAGAAAAGTGAATTGGTTGCCCTCCTATAAAGTGACATATTGTTAAGGATCTTCCAAAAACAGTTTTTTGAAGCACATTATTATTGAAAACAATGAATAAACTTGTGACATATAGCAACGACAAGCAAGAGGTAGTTTGAGTTTGTTTATTACATCTTTTATCACATTTGTGTATATGTTGTTGCTACATCGTTAAAGTTTACATATTTTTTTTCTGGTGAAACAACATGTTAAGTCTTCTTCACTTAACCTTAAGATTTCCTTCTTCTTCATCGTAAGTCTCTAAGGTTAGTTTCAATTTTTCGTTATTGTTCATTTGTAAGAATTTCTTCTTCATTATTTTGGGGATTTTACGGGCCATTTTAGCACTAGAGAGATAATCGCAAACACTAAGGAGAAAATAAGAAATCATATTAATAAACCTTCAATAAGAACAAATAGCCACTATTAATTCCCCTTTTAACATTAAATTTACTATCTTACCCTCACATCATATTAAA